GGCCGTTTTCAGGCTGGCGGGTGACTGAAGCTCTCAACCGCTCCTTTTTTTCTTTCTTTTTTTTTCTGCTGGGCCAGCTTTAGCTCTGAGGCCTTGCTGCTGAAAGCAGGTTTCTGGCCTTTACCTTCTGTATTTGATACAATGTTGCCCGGCTGGCTATAACTTCAGCTCTGAGATCCCGGCAGGCTGAAAGCTGGTTTCTGGGCTTTTGTTTAGCTTCTACATTTGCAACATAGTACATAGTTGCTTAGAGTTGCAACTCAGAGGCCGGCAAGTTAGGCGGGGAACGTTGGCGTCTGCAGTCACTGGAGCAAGTGAGCCTCCCTGTGTTTGCTTCAGTGCATGGCTGCCGGCCGCCATCTTGGCTGACAGTTAATTTGCATAAGGATATGCTGATTAGCCAATGGGAAGTGTAGCGGTCGTACGCCAATTACCATGTTTCTCTTTTATTAGTGTAGATAGTCCTGGAAGTCTTAACAAGAGCAATAAGGCAAGAGAAAGAAAAGGCATTCAAATAAGGAAGAAGTATAACTGTCACTTTTTGTGGATAATATGATTCTATATATAGAAAACCCTAAAGACTCCATAAAAAAATTATTAGAAACAATAAACAAATACAGTAAAGTTGCAGGATACAAAACATTATACAAAAAAATCCACTGCATAAATATTTTTATTTTTATTTATTTATTTATTTTAATATATATTTTATTGATTTTTCACAGAGAGGAAGAGAGAGGGATACAGAGTTAGAAGCATCGAGACAGAAACATTGATCAGCTGCCTCCTGCACACCCCCCACTGGGGATGTGCCCGCAACCAAGGTACATGCCCTTGGCCGGAATCGAACCTGGGACCCCTCAGTCCGCAGGCCAATACTCTATCCACTGAGCCAAACTGGTCAGGGCTGCATAAATATTTTTAAAGAAGCAAAATATAAAATAATAATTTAGTAAAGCAGCAATCAAGTAGAGTTCAAAAAAATAAACTATTTTTTTTCAGAAATGCATACCAAAATATAACAACTACAAAAAATTAAAGAATTATCTGAGAAAGCAGGTTAGTGTTTACCTCTAGTTGGGAGACGAAATGATATATTGGGGTTGTCACTTGAGATTTCCTGGATGCTAGCAGGGTTCTATTTCCTTATTTATGTGGAGTCACATGAATTATCATTATTCTTTAAAATATACACATAAATTTTATGGGGTATTTTTTGACATATAGTAGAAGAGTAAAGAAGAATTTCAAAAAATTTGTCTTTGGATAATGTTGGTATGGTAACTGTAACAGATTTGGATCTTGCTAATTTATATATTTTATTTCAATATATTATCTAGATGGATACCCTAAAAATGAAATTGAATATAAGTGGAAAAAACCTTCTGTAGAAGTGGCTGATCCTAAATATTGGAGATTATATCAGTTTGCATTTGTAGGGTTGCGGAACTCAACCGAAATTTATCACACAATCTCTGGTAAGAAAGAAACACAAAATTAGTGAAATAGCATCTGTATTTCAATCTATGGGTTGAAATCTATACTTTTGTATTTATTTTATAACCAAAATAAAACCTTTTTTTTCTTTCAGGGGATTATGTTATCATGACAATTTTTTTTGACCTGAGCAGACGAATGGGATATTTCACTATTCAGACCTACATCCCATGTATTCTGACAGTTGTTCTTTCTTGGGTGTCTTTTTGGATCAATAAAGATGCAGTGCCGGCAAGAACCTCACTGGGTATGACATATAATATTATGCTATAGTGTCATGGGACTTTTACAAATATGTTAATGTGATAAACTTTATTGTTGAATATATTAGAATATTCCTCTACACTACAATCAAGCAAAAATTAAGTTACTCTATTGCAATATAGTGTTGAAATGCATACATGAAAAGCAAAATAAAATAGAAATGCAAAGAACTTAAAACTTCAGAAAATATTTTTATTGTTTCCACTACTAGAGGCCAAGGAAAGCATGCATACACAGCAAGAATTAACACATAAAAATCATACATAATCACTGAATTTAATTTAGTCAACAATTGCAATTACTTTTCATCAAGACTTTATTTTCTTTTTTTAGCTGGATCACTAATAGCCAACATTTATTGACTAGTGTGTTAAGAAGGCTTTGAAGTGCCTTATTCTTACAATAGTGCTAATGAATAGTCAACTGTTCTAAAGGGCAGGTTGCTGAAAGGAATAAGAATCTTTTTGTTGTTGTTATTACTCCTCACCCAAGGGTATTTTTTCCATTGATTTTTAGAGAGAGTGGGAGGGAGGCTGGGGGAGAGAGAGAGAGAACTATCGATGTGTACCACATGTGCCCGGACCAGGACCAGGGAAGGAACCTGCAACCCAGGCATGTGCCCATGACCAGGAATGGAACTGCGACCCTCTGGTGTACAGGCCAATTCTCTAGCCACTTGGCAACACTGGCCAGGCAGAAACAATTATCTTATAGGCTTTAATAATCTATAGACTGTGGACATAATCTGTGAATACTTCTGAGAGTTTCCTGTAATACAACACTGATTTCAAAGGTAATTTGTAATTCACACTTAATATAATAGACTTTTGTTTTCATTCTTTAGCAACCCATGACAATAATCAACATCATAAAAATTTTTTTCTAATTACTCTACATTTGTTTAAAAAACTAAAGGCCCGATACACAAAATTCGTGAAAGAGTAAACCTTCCTTCCCACAGCTGCCGGCACTGGCTTCCCTCTGATACCCGGGGTCCGGGCTTCTCTCTGGCTGCCAGCAGGCACCCAGGACCCGGGCTTCCCTAGCAGCCCTGGCTTCGTCAGGAAGGTCATCCGGAAGGACATCTGGTCTAATTAGCATATTATGCTTTCATTATTATAGATGACACCTTAAATTCATGCATTAATATACAAAGACAACTCATTGATCAATTCCTAAGAATACAATAGTGCAGGAAGTGAATCACATTACTGAAAATTGTGTCTTACAAAACAAAGAAAGTTAGACCTTTTGCTTTTTTCAACAGCAAAGAGATTTTCATTTTGTTTCTATGATAGCTCGTGAATAACTTCACTCATAAATACAGTAAAATGCAAATCACATAAAAGTAGCAAGATAAAGCCTGAGGCATCCAGCTCTATGCTTGGAAATGCATTTCCTTTGGGAGTCTAAGCAGAAGTGTAGACGTAGCTAGTGGATAAAATGCACTCATACCTGAGATTTGTTTTCTATTTAAAATGTAATTTCAAATTACATTTCATGCCAAGGGAAAAGAATTGATTTTAGATTATTTATATGCTACTTTGAATATAACAGATATTATATTTTTGTTTTAAAACATTATTCTTGTATTTTTCCAAAAAGGATTTGAATAAATTAATTATACTATTGGGTGTGTCTGAAGCCAAAAATCATATTCCACAGTTTCATGAAAGAGAATAGCCAGTTGTGGAATTTTTGCATGAATTAATATTTTTAATATTAGTATATCAAGTTTAAAGATAAGTGATAGTCAGATCTAACTTGAAGAATATCTTATAAATGTGGATCCTATGTAGTTGGAATATAAAGCTTTTTATATTTGAAGGAAAATTTCCTGAGCTCATTTATTCCACATTGCATTTTTACAAACTTGTATCAAATGCTTTTGATGAAAGAGGCAGTGTTCTAGGCGCTTTAGTATTACCAGTGAACAATACTTATAAAATCCTCATGTCTATGGCATTTATGTTTTTGTGGCATATAGAGTTAATGTACAAATATAAAAAGCATAGAAAAATGTCAATGAGTAATAAAGGTTATAAAGAGAAAGCAAAAAAATGGCTAGAGAATGGCACTAGATGTTGATAGACGTAATGTTTGCTATTTTATCTTGTGGAGTCAGGCTAGACCTCTCTGAGGAGGTAGCAGGGACTCAGGGCAGTGCGGCAGCTGGTCTGCTGGATAACTGGTAGAAAGATGGTGCAGGCAGGGAGAATAGACGGTTCTGAAGTGGTCCTTCCTTGCCGTGCCATGCTTGGAGTTCAGAAAGGTAACTGTGGCTGGGGCTGACTGACAAGTGGTAAAAAATGAGATTGGAGAGGTGGGCAGTGGTGTGATCACATAAAGTTTAGTAGATTTTTCTAAGGACTTTAAGGACTTTTTGGTTTTTATTCCAAATGTGGTAGGAGATTATACGATTTTGAGCAGGAAAGCCATAGAGGAAACATTAGTGAATCTGCTTAATAACACAATAGAATTCAAAAGACTAAAATTTTCCAGAGTATATCATAAAATATACTCTAAAAATAATATGGATAATAATGCCCTCATATATTTAGAAATTAAAGCATGACCTTTTAAATAACCCTTGGATCAAAAGAGAAATTAGAAGATATTTCAAAATAAATTTAATAGATATTTAATATTTATATAAATATTTGCAAGACACAGGTAAAGCATTGCTTAAAGGGAAATTATAGCTTTAAATATGTTTTTATTTATTTTTAGAGGGAGAGGGAAGGAGAAGGAGAAAGAGATAAAATCAACGATGAGAGAGACACATAGATCGGCTGCTTTATGCATGCCCCCTCCTGGGGATCGAGCCCATAACTCAGACATGTGCCCTGACCTGGGAATCAAATCCGGGGCCTTTTGGTCCACAGGACAACGCTCAATCCATTTAGCCATACCAGCCTGGCAGAAGTTATAGCTTTATAATGCTGATATTAGAAAGGAAGAAAGATTTAAAGTCTATAGTCTAAGTATCCCCTTTAAGAACACATAAAATAAATACCTTTTTGCAGGGTGGGGTAAAGGTAGGTGTACAGGCAGCCTTGTGACAGTTAAGCATCGAATAGTCTGTTACTATAGAGCAAGGGAAGGATGGGAACAGGGACTCACGTCCTTGCAGTCCACAGAATTTAGATGAAGAAAACACGGACAGGAGAACACATTGAACATAATGTAGCTATGGTTACCAGTATTTTTTTCCCCCTGTAAATCACAGTAATCATACCCTTTTGTGTGCATTGTTTATTGCAGCTCACAATATTGCCAAATCAGAAGAAAGGATGGAAACGGTCTGTGAGGTTATTTTTCATCTTCTATTTGTTCCCCTCCCTCCGCAGGCATTACCACAGTTTTGACCATGACCACTCTGAGTACCATAGCCAGGAAGTCCTTGCCTAAGGTTTCCTACGTGACTGCGATGGATCTCTTTGTTTCTGTGTGTTTCATTTTCGTTTTTGCAGCCTTGATGGAATATGGCACCTTGCATTATTTTACCAGCAACGAACGAGCAAAGGCTGCTAGAGACAGAAAGATAAAACACAAGGCCTCGGTACGTTAAAAATCTTTACTTTTTTTAAAGTGGCAATTTAATATTAGAGATACTGTTTAAATACTCATGTTATACTTACTTAGACAAATATGGGTGTTGAGGAACCCTGACAAAATATAAACAAAAATAAAATGAAACTGGAGCACCTCACATTGCCCACCAAGGAGAGTCCATTTACTAGTGTATTTCCTCTTAGAGGAGACTCTAGGATCACCTTTGTAAAGACTGCTTTCATGTGCTGGGAATTTTTCCAAGTGCTAGGTTCTCATACCTAAAAAAAGTGTTTAAGATCATTCTTTAAAGAGATCCTACATTTGTGTTTAGAATTTGAAAAACAGGTGGCCCACGAAATTAACTTACCTTGTAGAGACAAAGATTCCTCTTTAACATTGCTATTCAGCTGTGTTTGAAAGACATAGCCATACAGTTTTTTGGGTTTTTTTTTTTTTTGGTTTCTGCATATTTATACTCTACTACTCCCTCTTCCCTATCATGTATCTATCCTCACTTATGTCACATCAAGTTGATATAATTGATTCTAAGATACTCAAGTGTTGGATGATTGACTATAATTTCTTGTTATAATGGCCACTTTAAAACCTTAAAGTAATATCTAACAATGATCACATCAGGTGTTCCTCTAAGTATTTTACATGTGTGATTTCATTATGCTCATCTGAGTACAAGTTCAGTCATTTGCACAAGGACAGCCGCAGGAAGTGAAGGATCCATGACTCACACCCAGGTCTTTCTTAGTGCCGGAGCTCAAGTTTGTAACCCTTATTACCTTTTCTCAGAGAACTCAGAAAGTAAACTTCCGTTTCTCCAGTATTAATTTAAAAAGGCACTTCGCTGCTGACTGCGGAAAATGATTTCAATGTGGATTTGTTCCAAAATACCCAAATAAATGACAACTGTATCAAATAGCCAGATAAGCCTCCCATAGTGTTTATACAGTGAGGCATAGAGTTTTCCACATTATCTCCTAAACTTGTAAGTTCTAGGATTCGATGATTTTTCTCCCTCCTCCTTTTTCATTAGTTTCTTTATAAAGCTTTGCCATACTTAAAAATTATATTTTTCTTTTCATGTAATACTCTAAGGCACAAATCTTTGTGAATTTGTTTTCAGATTCCCACAATATTCCAAGAAAGCAGAGTGCATTAACTGGCAGTACACATTTGAGAACTTACATTGTAGAATTAGCCTACGAGTGTCTCAAGTTAACATTATTTTAACTTATGCATAGCACATATTATAACCCCTAAGTGGAAAAATTATCAAAGGACAATGATGTCAACTTTCATATTGACCTGCTAAATTTTAGGTAAGGAAAAATGCAGGTTTTCTACCGTTTTCCTTGAATTAAAGCCAATCATCCTCTTCTGGATTTTCCATTTCATCATATATTCATCCATAGCTATGTTCAGGTACGACCTTGAAATTTTACTTTTGGAAATTGGGAATGAAAGTCAGTCAGTGTACAATATCACATGCGTTCTCTAATCTAATTCTAAGAATATCATGTAGGTACTATTTTTATAGCATCTAAGGACGCTCAACCAATAAGTGGCTGCTGCTAATCACTTTGATTCTACATCATGCACTCGCAATCACATTGCATGTCACATTTACTCAGGAAGCTGCAAACTGGAGGGCAAACTGTACTATTATGATAATCATTCACTCACCAAATATTTATTAAAATCACCCTTGTTCTAAGCACTGCTGTAGAATAGTTATTTGATATAAAATATACATGCTGAGTATTCAAAATTTAGCATAAGGCCCAGGAAACAAAAATACTAAAGGTGAAAAAATAAGGAATAAAAATTAAATTAGGACACATATGTAATACCTTAATCAATGAAGAAAATAATAGATATAGCACATTAAAAAAATGAGCCCTTTGAAGCACTATATTTCAAAGCCAGATAAAAGTTAAATTTGACCTATTATCATTGATGGCCTGGGTACAAAAATTATTTTCTTTAGAGCTATCCATAAGAAAGTTCTATAGTCTTTACTTTCTGTGATTCATGAGCTCTTTCAATAGTAAATGTCACTTTGAGTGAAAAACTGAGATCAGTAATCAAATCTGACTCCCTGCGTGGTTCAGTCATATATTCTTGCTAATCAGGTAAATCAATATGAGTACACTTTTATTAAGAATAGACACCTCTGCTTGCTATTTTCTCAAATATCCTATCTAAGAGCTTTGTGTATCTGATTTTCTTCTGTTTCAGCCACAGGAATCAAATGCACAACCTAGACAGAGAAGTTCTCTCTCTCTCTTTCTCTCTCTCTCTCTCTCTCTCTCTCTCTCCTTTCTCTTTTTTTCTCTCTCCCCCTCTCCCCTTGTCTTCCTCTCTCCTCCCTCCTTCTTTCACCTTCCTTCCATCTCCCTACATTTTTTATAAGCTCAAAATTCTGAGTAGTTTAAAATACAGTATTTTTCCTTTTTTTAACCTTAAATTACTATGGCAATAGTCAGACCAGGACCAAAAACTTTGACTAGAGTCAGTGAATGGTCAATAAGTCTGTTATTGAGCAAAACCAAAAATCCCCTTTGTTGATGTCTCTATGACAACTTAACTGAGGATCCCAAAATACCCCAATTTATGTTCATTAGAAACAGCTGATATTTTAACACAATAGATTTTTTGGCTTCAGTGAACCCTCTTAGAAAAACACAAATCAATTAGGATGCTTTCTACTTTACTAGCCATATGATATAGTCTTCCTTCCTTCCTTCCTTCCTTCCTTCCTTCCTTCCTTCCTTCCTTCCTTCCTTCCTTCCTTCCTTCCTTCCTCTATCCTTTCTTCCTTAAGTTCTTCTTTTCTCTTTTCAACATTCTTTTCCTTTCTTCTTTCATTTTCATTGTGATTGTCAATGACATTTTTATTTGGTCCATGTTCCCATCCAATATATGTCATTATGTTTTTATTTCTACTCATTAAAAATATGATTTTTGTATGTTTGAGTCAACATCTATTTTCCAAAACAAAACAAAACCCAAAAACTGAAAAGTTAACTATGTTGGAACATGTAATTAACATTATTTATGAATCAGGTAAAGGTCACATTAATACAATAGTAGTAAACTAATCATTACCAACTGAAGAGTAGTTAAATTTGAAATTAGAATACTCAACCTATAGATGATTAGAAATCTCAGGAAACTATCTTATACTCACACCAGTGGCCTAGTATACCCATTAGAGGACAGAACTTATTAATAATCTCTCAATTTGATTAAAATGTAAAATGATAGAGATTTATTTCACCAGCCATGAACAAGACACTTTGGAGAGAAAAATGATAGAATGTGTTTTCTGCTTTCAGGATCTTCAAATCTAGGTGTAGGAAAGTACAGTAGGCATGTAAATGCCAGATAACAAAGTGCAATACAAATAACAATCCAATGTAAAAGTCAAAAGTAAACAAAGATACTCCAAGGGAATTAGCAGTTAAGTGACTGGTTTCAAATACTTTTTCAGACGCAGACTATTTCCTATGATGTGCATAAGTAAAACATATTTTAAAGGATATGCTTTATTGAAATATCTTGATTTCATGCTCCAACACAGTGAAACACTGACTTAACAAGTGTGTAGTGCTGAGACGAGGCTATATGCAGCTCTTCTGGGGATGGACATGTAAACCATTTAAGGCCATATTGTGGTCCTGTATATCATTTTCATTCTTCCTACCTAAAGTCAGTGTTGATGGGCAAAACAACTCCCACACTAAAACTTTGATGGACAGAACAAATCCCACATCCTGTTCCCATTTCCTGAGCCTTTTCTGAAGTGTGGCTTCCTTGAGTCAGCTTTATCCCATTGTCCTGTTTCCATCTGTTCTTTGCCTTTTATAAACTCATCACAAATTCTGACATGCTGATGGGCAGCTCAGCATCACCAAGACTCACCTTTATGTGTTTTTAACACTGAAGTGCATTTTGTAAGTTTTGAAATTCTGACTGGTTTTGTGAGAGGAGAAAACATATGCTTAGGTTAGCATTTTCAAGTACAACTTTTTAAATAAAAAATTTAATAATAGTAATATTAGTCACTATTATATAATATCAATAACATGACCTAATAATGTATTCTATTCATATTACTAATATTTGATAACATATAATTAATGATGTTAACATATGATGTAATAATTATATCATGTAAATACACACATATATATAATTTGTACATAAATGCTTTATTTATTATTTAATAATATTTAATTGATAGAATTGTGTCTTGGTACTTAAAATATACTTTATATATTTAACCAAGTTACTAATATATGTAATATAGTATTTAATATACAACCAGATAATATGCATATGTAATAAGAAGAATGTAATCTATTTTTCAAAATGTTACATTCAGCTATATTCTTAGTGACTTTTGAAATAACAAAAAAAGGTATGTTCTCAAAACTTTATCATTCAAAGTAAGAGTAAATTTTAGTTAATTTTGTCAATTCTTTTTTTTATCACTTAAACTCATTTATTTTTTCAATCCTTGCTATTTTGGGAGGGGGGCAGAGGATATTTACTTGAAGAGTTACAAGCTGGGTAATATAGTTGCACTTCAGATAAATAAGGTTTGGAATGTTTGTATTCTTCTGATTAATCTTTCAGTAGTTTCTGGGTGACAGATCTGCCAATCAAAATATTCATTTTATTGGTATTGCATCAGCTCTTAGACTATTTTTTCAGCACTTATAATGTCTATTTCTATTCACATTAATCAATCATTAAAGTGTAGTTTCTCTCAATTTCTGAATTTTTGGTGTTTTGGGGGGCATTAGGAAACTAGAAAATTGTCAATAAAGGTGTCACTGTCATAGGAGGTTCCCATGACTTTGACCACTAGAGATTAATCCATTTTTTAAGTGACTCACTTGCAATTTTTCTCTCTTTGTGCACGGGTGTTTAATCATCCCTTTCATATACAATCGATATTTTCTGACAAACATACTATATTTCCATTTATGGCAGTTCTGAGTGATATATGAAATGTGTTTTATGCCATATACCCTTGAAATTCCCAAATAACAAACTTGTATTTTAATCACTTTTCACTCTGATGAGCATTTGAACTATTTAAGTATTAAGTGACAGGGAAATGAATACAAATGTTTCTGTTTTTTACATCATTTTAGTGCTCCACTAAAATTTAGGAGTCTCTTAAAGTATCCCCAAGTGTCAACCTGAAAAGATCTTTCATTAACATTTAATAAACGCTGTCTCTGCTTTTTATGATACATCTAAGCTGGTGAAGTCATGAATTTATTTGTGTTTAGGGCATTTCTCCTTATCTTCAGGCTGCACATTTTGTTTTTAATATGGATATTATGACTTGTCTGATGCATTTATCTTTTTAAAATATCACAAAATGTGATTATTTGCTTCTGTTTGCATACACTGAATTTTTATAATTTAGTGGTTTGGAGTCTATATTCCTCTTTAGATATAAAATGGATTTAAATGTAAATCCACATTTTAAGAAGTTAAAAGGTTTTGTTTTTCACTTTTAAAATCTTCCCATACAATATTTATTTGTCATGGATTTGTGATATATTTATTTTAAATTTAAGACTAAAAATATATGAACATTTTCTTTAGAAGAATTTAGATAAGGTTAAAACAATTTTAATAATGTCAGCATTGTACTTGCTGTTTAGACAATAAAACCACTGATTATAATAAGCTGTAAAATCTCATCTTAAGATAAATCCTAAATATGCAGAAGTTTTGAAGAATAAGTGTTACTAAAACTGCAATCTCCATTCATATTTTACTTGCCATTATATTCAAGGAGTTATTAATGTTTTTTCTAATAACCTTTTTTTTTATAAGATCTGGGTTTTTATTGTTGGTTGTTTTAACATACTTTATAGCCAATTATGATATACTAGAGGCCCAGTGAATGAAATTTGTGCACGGGTGCGGTCCCTAGGCCTGGCCAGCAATCGAAGTGCGAGTATCTGACGTGGAAGGGCAGGTCCCAGCTGACCTCTGGTCCCTGAGCCGCACCTGGACCCCTGAGCCCCCACATGCCCCACTCTGCCTGAGTCAGGGTGCCTAAGTCCCCACGCAGAGATGAGGTGAGCGGGACCAATGCAGCGGGCCAGGGCGCAGCATGGGCCTCTAGGCCACCCAGCGTTGCTGCACGGAAGCCAGGAGATCAGAGCACTCTCTCCCGGCTAGCCTCGCAGACCAGCTCCTGCACGAACCCATGGGGACCCCAACTGGTCCCTGTGGTCCCAGTGGCTGCAGCCTGGCTCACCTGAAAGAGGCCACGTGGGTGTGGGGTGGGCTCCTCGTGGCACCCAGCATCTGAGCGCGGGGGCTTCCCTGGTGGGCGAGCCCTGGTGTCCCAGGGGAGGGTGGCAGGGGGAGTGAGAGTGAGTTTGGCAGACACCCTGCATTCTCACTGCACTTCCGTCCCCATCACCCCTGCCCCCAGGTAGCCAGTGAGAGGTCAAAACCTCCCACCCAGGTGCCCCGGGAGGTTGGTTGCTGCCACCCATCCCCAGTTCCCCATCCCAGCCCAGGGCCCGGCCCCATTGGGTGATCAGGGCCTGAAGGCTGTAGGGAGGGATCCAGGAGGTTGGCCACCAGCCTCAAGAAGGGAGCCGGCCCTCAGCCCGCCTGGGAAAGAGGCCGTGTCCACCAACACCCACCCCGAGTTCCCTGTCCCAGCCTGGTGCCTGGCCCCAATTGGGTGATAGGGGCCTCCTGGCTGGGGGGAGGGACTGAAAGGTTGGCCACAGGCCCCATCTGGCGACCAGGGCCTGCGGGTCGGGGGCAGCTCTTGCATTGAGCATCTGCCCCCTGGTGGTCAGTGCACATCATAGGACCGGTCATCCTGGTCCTTCCGGTCGTTCTGTTGTAATGGTTGCTTAGGCTTTTATATAGATGCTGTTCAGGAATCAATAAGAGCAGTAACAATACCAACAATAAGCATTGCCTATTGGCAGCTGAATGCTTGCTATGTTTCAAATGGTTTGCTTGGTGCTTTGTGTACATTATCTCATCTGATCACCAAATAGATCCATGTGTTGTCATTGTAACTTGTACAGCAGAAGGCACAGAGGCATAAGAACAGTCACATTTCCTGTTCAAGGTCACACACAACTCTACTGGCAGAACTGGGGTTTCTGCTCAAGCTGGTCTGACTCCAAAGTGATTGTTTTAATGTATCATAGTATCCTGGGTTGCTTAATTTTTATATTTAAAAATATTTTCTTATTTAATTATTATTCAGAACCTGTTGTCATAAAAATTAATTTGACATGTATCCCAAATAATCCTGATAATAATAGTAAGATGGGCAAGATGAAGCCTGATCATTTTACATAAGTTATGAAATATACTCATCACAGCTATAAAAAAAAATTAGGTGCTAATATAATTTTAGCTTTGTGGATAGCTACATTGGTAAAATTAGACAAAGTTTGAACTCTTGAGTTTTTAACTCCTGCCCATTCTTTCCCCAAAGTATGATGCCTTGAGCTTATCCACTACTATAACCCCCATTACATCATTTTTTTAATTCACTCACAGTTTCTCAAAACTTGTTTATCAAAATGTCACCTTTGCTATTTTTCTCAATATTACTAAAATAAATAACTTGCATAATATAATATAATAGCAAGTAGACATTTATGGCATTGTAAATGTTTCAGAGTAAAATATCATAGAAATATAGTTTGTTTTAGAATACAGTTATGGTTAATATTTTAGTGGATCATCTTTCTGAAGGTATAGCATATATTTCATCTCTGAGAGTTTTTTATGTGAAATCTTCGAGATGTAAAATAATATTAAGTTGTGTGTTACAAAGTAAATAATATAAAAACACACCAAAATTGAATACTTTTTTATTTTTATTTTTTAATAATATATCTATTTTTTATTGTTGACAGTATTACAGATGTCTCCCATTTCCCTCCCTTCCTTTACCCCCCTCCCAGGAACCCCTATCCACCCCCTGCAGGTCTTCACCACCCTATTGCCCATGTCCATGGGCCCTCTTTGATTTTTTCAAACCAAGATTATTTTCACTGCATTCTTTTAGAATTCGCCTTACGGGGACAGATTGATCTTTTTTATAATTCTGTTCTCTTTCTCTTATTATGTTACACAGATATCTCCTGGACTCCACCTTGGATCCACTCTGATTCCAATGAATAGCATTTCACTGCCACAAGGAGAAGCCGATCACGGGTACCAGTGTCTGGAGGGCAAAGACTGTGCCAGCTTCTTCTGCTGCTTTGAGGACTGCAGGACAGGGTCCTGGAGGAAGGGAAGGATCCACATCCGCATTGCCAAAATCGACTCTTATTCGCGAATATTTTTCCCAACAGCCTTTGCGCTGTTCAATCTGGTTTATTGGGTTGCCTATCTTTACTTATAAGTTCTACTTGCTAAGAAAAAGCATAAGAAATTTGACTAAATCCAATATAATCTATTGTACTTCAGCAACATGAAGTTTAAATGTAAAATTCAGAGAAACCAATGACCAAAATGTGAATATTATTGTAATCATTTTAAGACTTTCATAGGTCAGTAAAGTAGCAATTTGCATATTAGGTTACTTAAATTTAGGTAACACAGATTACTTGTAAAATGCAATCTATTAAAATACTCATATATTTTTACTTAAATTTTATTTATTTTACTTAAATCACATTAGGATTTTGGACTATGTTCCTGGATTCATATTTTAAAGACATAATACTTTTAATACATGATTTATTTAAATACGATCTATATATGAGTGAGCCTATTCTAATGCCTAATATTTATGGAGTAATTTTTCACCTAGAAAATATTGTTAATTGTTGTTTTCTTTCTTTTTATTTGTATGCCCTATTTGGAATAGAGGATTTTAAAAACATAAAGCCATGATTTCCTGGGATATATTTTCAAGATGTTTAACTCCAAGGAAGAAATTAACTTATTTATAAATCTTTTATTAATTAAATAATAACATGCCAATTTTACATAATTAAAAGGCCAATTTTTTATCTGTTTTAGTGAAGTCTATTTCCTGACAGTATTAAGTAGAACTCTTGTTACATTTATTTTTTTTAACTTTAATTTATTGAGGTGACATTCGTTAATAAGATTATATATAATACTTTGATGATTTACAAACTAGGATGGACACCACCAAAGTCATCTTTTTAAAATACAAAGTAAAAAATATAAGATTGTTACATCTAACCATATTATGCTCGACTTCTTAGCATTTATGTAGTAAAAGGAGTTAACACTGAAATATTTAGCTCTCCCAAGACTGGAATTAAATGGAGAAAGAATTGATTTTTTTCTGTATGCTCTGCAAGTGTTACATTCCCTAAATTAACAAAAACACTGAGGAACTGTGCTTTGTGGTTAAAGAATTATTACCTAGCAAATTGAGTAACAGTTCATACTGAGGGCATGGTCTTAAATATGAACTATTAACATTTTTCAGACTAGAAAAGTTCTGGAAACACCGTTTTAGGAATTTGTCATATATTGCCTTTTCCATCTCCTAAATTTGGACCCTGTCAGTTTTACAACTTTGTTATAAATCTTTATAATATTCTCTTTTCTAGGAGATGCTAGCAGGCCTAAAAGTCAGGTTAAAGGTGGAGTACTGTTAGAGGCACCTCTCATGAGCATGAGTGTGGGGGGCTCTAACTTACTAGACACAGGAGCAGAGAAAGTTTCACTCTAATGTAAAGCCTGTTGGTTAATAGCTTCCAAAACATGTCTTTTGTTAAGAGGGAGTTAACTTTAGGCTTTAATCTTTATTTTCTTGTAACTAGTTTGGCATATCAATTGTTTATTTAAAAAAAACCTGTATTCATTCACTATCACCTAATTTTCTAGAAAATCTCCAGAGTGATCTTGGAGATAAAAGTTAAGAATGGTTTCCATTGCCAAGAGCAACTATCAGGATGAAGTTTCTGATAAAGGCCTATCTTGTTAAGTGGATGAAGCTACCACCTGTACATTTGACATTCTAGTTTTTAATACAATAACTCCTTCACATGGTTAATGAATACATGAGTGAGGGTCAGTCATGTTATACTTATGTTTTTAGAGTATAGTTATTACAAATCTAAATGTATGTCATTGTGTGCTCCCCAGATATGTCTGAATTTTTACTATGCTTATAAACTTCTGGGGGAAAAAAGCATAAATTGAACAATAATGCCCAATTATCCACCGACACTGCTTGTTTTGAATGGAGAGCCAAATTAAACTTTGGCCATGTAATATATCCATTTACGAGTTATTCATGCATTCATTTTTATAGCATCCAGAATTTATAGATATTCTTCAGGTGAACATTAATTTAGAGTTAAATAAAAAAGTACCCATGAAGAATAAAACTCTTCATTCAAATGTATGATAGCCATTTCCATAATGCATTCTCAAAGGGAATGCAGTTTTTGGCTGCAACTTGCTCATTATCGTGGTGGCAAAGTTAATTCTGGGATTTTTTTCAAGTCTGTCTGAGCATGATTATATTTTAAAATACTTAAACATGCTTAGTATAAGTAGCTTTGATTTTCTCATTGGTGTTCCATTAACCTGGCTTTGAATGTTGGCAATATTTACAAGTGGAAATAAAATTGGTAAAAATAATAAAAGATGTTTTTCTATATCCATTCATTGTACATACCATCAAAACAACCACTTTGTTTTTCAAGGCCAGTGGTACTTTGTGCAGTTTTATGTAAACACGTACTTCAGAAACAGTGATATGCATATATTATTTCTAAAAGTGAGAATAAAGGGCAAAAGTGCAGTTCAACTCCTTTTGCAAGAAATCCAGTAGAGCTTATTTTCCAAGGGACTGCAGTGGAATTCCTATTCTTTTCTCTTTAAAATGTTTTGCCATTTGAGAAATAATTGTTTAAAAACCCTCCTCTTTCTCCTGTGAGTTATGTCTTAATTTATTGGATTCTGGAATTTGTGTTTTCTAGCTACTTTAAATGTTTTTAACACTAACTTAAAAAATGGATACAGAGGATGAGAAGAATAATGAGCAGAAGGATCTAGAATCATTTGGGGAAAAGTTAATTCACATAGACCACCTTCTAAATAAGTGACCAGGATCTAGACATTCTGAGAAAGAATATTGTGACTTGTACACCTTTATTCTCTTGGATTTACAATTGCATGGTAAGATAAACTTAGACTCACTTGAAATTAATTCCTAAAATACCAAATAGCTTCTGAAAAGAACAAACAAACAAAAGTCACTTAAGATTATCTGGGAATTTACTAGAGAAAGGGACAAATTCCTTAGTAAATTCGTCTAAATACAAAGTTTTATTTTGTACAGGAATTCCACAATTTATTGGATTTATTTTAAGTTAAAGACATATTTTATAGAGGAGTTTTTAAAATGGATGAACTCTAATTTAAAGCAAAGTAAATTTGTGTAAATAAATGGACAATCACCAGGTTTTCTTTTTTCTTTAATGTGTTCCCATATTCTGACATCAATATGTACTCATAAAATATGCTATTCATAAAATATGCTATGTATTTGCTTAAGAGCAAGGCCAAAACTGAGGGCAGCATGCTTGCCAATGATTTAGCATTTAAAAAAATGGTTGAGAGTACTTTCACATCAAAGAGCCCATAATTGTAAAATGTGAAATTACATTCCAAGTCAATATGTTACAAGATACATCTTGTATGTTGATTACATAGGAGATTTAATAATCATGTAACAAATGAATAAATACATATAAAATTATTGAAGATTTATAGCAGTGACTATTTTGACTCTTGCTAAATTACCTGTAGCAAGATACCACACTTGCAATTATTTCATGGATTATAGTGTTAGAATTGAAGTGATACAATAGATGTTTAATGATTTAGCATTTCTCTCACCCAAAAGATTTTGAGAATAATTTTTGACCAAGCTATTTTTCTTTACATCATCAAATTTGTGTCACTCCTCAATGTCATACAACACAAAGTCCAGAATTATTGTATAATATTTCTATTGATCATCACTGTTTTTCACTGCTAGGAGGCCTTTGAGAAGTCACTGTAATGTCACAGAAACCCTTACTAAGTCTCCATAAAAACAAAAGAATACAAAAACAAAGCAAAATATCTTTCCAAATGGAGTTTCCAAACACTATTGACCACATTGCTCTAGAAATGTAAGGTCAGTTCAGCCGCTTTTGTGTTTGCATATTGAAAGTGACATAACCTAACTCAAATATTATGCACTTTTTATGTATAAGATACATAGATACAGTAGGGAATGCATAAAGATGAACTCTCAAGGAATATGTAATCAGATGATTATACAATTAAAGGAAGAGAACTTGGGGAAAGTTTCTTGGAGGATATGTGTTTAGAGATGGGAGCTTGAGATTCAATATGTCAATAGGTGAAATTAACAGAACTCACACCTTCCATTGAGTAAACAGCTTGGATAAAGAAAAAGAAGCATGGGCTTAAATAAAAATGTTATTTTAAGGTTAAGATTTATTAGAGGTTAAGATTTATATGGAGATGATCAAAGATGACGCTAGGAAGAGGCCTATGGTAGAGAGGCAAGAATATGATCCTCAGGAGGTTGGGTAATACCATACATTTGAAGAGTTCACAAAGATGCCTGAGTCCAAAAGAGCCATCAGTGATACTGCAGAAGTTTCATCTTATCAGTGTGTGATGTTTGGAGTAAGAAAAGCCAGGTAGGAAGCTCCATATGCGGTAAGAGAGGATGAAGGTCAGTACTCTGGTGATGGAAGTTCAATTGAGAAGGAGGAAAGATAACCCCTGAATAAGAAATTATAAGTGACATACATGAAGCTGTGATTAATAGAGAACATTAACTGAGTGACATGGAGTTTCTGAGGGGAGAGGCGGTCCTGTATTGTACACATTTGTGTGTACTAGACACTAGACCACAGCAAGGAAATTCTGGATGTATTACAATCTTTGCTGTTACTGTGAACATTGTTAATCAAATGCTTATTTTTTTATATTGATGTTCGATTTTCCCACATTAGAGATAAAGAAAATAATAATATCCTAAAATAAAAATCATTAGGCAGTTCTGTCCAGGTTATTATTTTTTAAATAATGTTACTTATTAAAGGGCTTTCTCTTAAAATAACTTTTTTTTCTTTCTAACTGAGGGGATAGGGGTGTATTTAGACAAAGAGAGGAAAGAAACAGAACTGTGAATAGAAATAGGCTGCTGTGGAACCAGACAAATCCAGGATTTGATTTCTGACTCTCAAACAATTCTTGAAATATTTGTCTCAAAATATATAAATTTTTAGGACAATGAAATGTATATTGGACCTTTGAGTCTGTGGATGGCTAAGAAGAACCTGCAATGCAGTTGAGAAGAAAGGGCTAATTAACAGACTTTTAAGACATGGTTCACCTAAATGGATATATTACTGGTCTTAATAAATCACTGTAACAACAGCTGTTTGTGTTCATTAAGTGTATATAGAGGCTTCATACAATAAAATTTTATGGCTTGTGATTGCAATGGCTATGTTGTCTGCTTCTGCATCATCATTCTAGGAGCATTTTGTGAATGTGACAAAGGTATCTATCTCAAATATTCAAAGTGTTCTGTACTTTCATGATTATAAGTACAAAATAAACTCAGTAACTTGTTATGAAATAAAGTGTTATACGCTCTTAAATGTGTTTTT